ACGTGAGCGGTGAGCACATGTGCGTTTGATATTGCATGATATTGTGTTGTTTGTTTGTATTGCTTGTATTATGTGTTTGTATTGCCGTATCGTGTGTTTGTATAATTGTATGTATGATTCTTGAAAATCAGGGGGAGGTGTGGCGTGATACCGGGGTCGTGGTATCCCGTCCCCGGCGCCGATGTTAGAGACGGTACCTGGTCCGGGCTGTACCGGGCCCCGGACTGTACCGGGCCTCACTGTCAGAGGCGGGACGACAGGGGGTCTGGGGACGGAAGGACCGGGTGGCCTCTCGCGCTGTGTGACTGGGGGTGTGCGGTGGCCCGTCTCGCGTGTGCAGTGGCCCGTTTCGCGCTATCGGACGAATACAGACGGTAAAAACCAGTGTGGGCTACCAGAGCCCAGAGGCCAACGTGGGTCCAGAAGCTGGCATTGGCCCTCAGAGCTCGGTACCGGACGCTCAGGAGCAGGCGGGGCCCATCAGAAACCGATGTGGTTCGCAAAAAAATATATATATATATATATATGCGTGCGGGCCCTCGGCAAAAGGCCCACGGAAGCCGCCTGCCAGCCTGGGAAGGCCTACGGGCGTAGTCTGGGACACTCAGTAATCTAGGTACGGCCCACTAGCAAAAGAGTGGTTGCAGGGGCGTCGCCACGGATTTTTGAGTGGGGGGGGGGGGGTCGGGTTTCCGGTCTTCGTCTTGATGGGTAGGGGTGTATTTAGCCACACTCCCGGTTTTTTCGTGTGCCCGGAGAAAAACCTCGGCGCGCAGCGCCGCGAGAGCAGCGGTATATCTTATTGTACATCAATTTTGCATCGTGCATAAAAATCAAGCAAGGTCACCTGAGGTCAGGTCACAATGTCATGTCAAGTTCAGTTTTAATGCCTCTTAAAACTGCAATCTTGTCATTCCTATAGATTATCTCCTGACTCCTATAAGTCTGAAATTTGGTGTAATAAATGGGATTATAAGTGCCAACAAGTTCATGAATCTGGGATTTTACATCTGAGAAGCGAAGTCAGGTCAAATAGGTGTGTGACCTCACCAATCATGATAAGATATGGGAAAAAGCACGATGCCCTCTGCTTTGAAAGAATATGCTAAAAACGCTAGATACTTTTGTAGCCATGGCACCTTGTTAATGTTCATTTTAGAGGTGCAGCTAATGACCAGTGGTGACTGAAATGGTCAGTCATTAGGTCATCAAAGGTCTCTAACACATTTTCGACAACAACTTTTGATGGAGACGTTGTAGAGCGATGACAGCACCTGGAGTTTGAGCTCAGTAACACAGATCGATCCATATACAGCAGGTTCTTTTCCGGTCAGGTCATGACCTTTACCTGATGTCAAGTTTTCTATTCAAGTTTTTAAGTTCAAATTGTAAGCCATGCGACGTGTTTCGACGAAACAAAAACGATGGTGATAGCATGAATATCATACACATTCACTGAATCATAGGTTGTTACAGAACAAATGTTTCGGCAAAATCCGTCCGTTTAGCTGTTTGGACTCTATGGTACACAAGCCATAGACCCGAAGTCATATCTGAGGCGAAGTTGGCGAAAGAGGTTTAAAAAGCCATCGAATACGCTTTCTGTGTTGCTGTAGCTCTTATTCGTATTTTGCGGGTCGCTAACATAGGCGCGGGAGCCGGGGGGCAGTGGGGGCAGCTTGCCCCCCCCCCCCCCCCCAACTCTGGGGCCGTGGGGGCGGTACCCCCACAGCTTTGAGACGGAATACCACACTTTTTTTGCAAATGTTTTCTTTTTTTGTTGAAAAAGCCGAGGGGTGAAAAATAAGTGGCCTAAAACCGGTGAGAAAACTAGATTTGGGGGTACCCTAGGTTGATCTCTATTATGGTGTGCCCCCCCAGTCGGAACGTAGTTCCCGCGCCCCTGGTCGCTAAGGTAAAACGTTTACCAACGTAACGCATAAGGCATGCTTTCGGCCCCTGATCGAGGTAGAGTTTCGCGGAAGAGCGAAAATGCTGCCCGTGATGAAGAAAGCCGATGATGTCCAATTTCAAGGTCTTGACCGGGTCATCTTAGGTCAACGCCCAAAAGTAGGAAAAATCTGGCCGCCTGCTAGAACTTAGTGAGCCGTAGCTGTTATCGGGGTCCCGCGAGTACGAGTTCGATGTTAGTCTTGAACAAAGATGATTACTCCATGCATTTTGGGTAGATCGGGTCGGGTCAGGTCAGGTCGACCAGCAGGCTTCCTGCCGGCCATCTAGAGTGGGTGACCGACAACCACCAACGATAGCTTCGTAACATGTTACATAACCATCATTTATCAAAACTACTTCAAACGGGCGCTAAACTCGAAATCAGCCCCAAAAACCACACTTGTAAGTGGAAGCAAATAAAACTCAAAAAAGTAGAAAAACACGGAACAAATAGTGCATGGACGCGTTTCGATTATTAAATCTTCATCAGCATGATTTTCTCTCCGTGTTTCCGTGTTTTTCTACTTGTCTCTATCAAAAAACTCAAAAAAGTTAACCAAGATCATCCATATTCGAATCAGGGCCAATTTTTTTTTAGAATAGGTGTAAAATTCATTAACTCGAGGTCACTGGAAGTTTCGTTGCAATATAATCCTTTTTGCGCGTCTTATTAGGAAAGCCCCAGAGGGATCCACCATCTGACCCCATGTCCCCTTTGCAGGCAGGTCAGAGGGTAGCAGGGCTGTGGCTAGCCAGGTACCTCGTAGTTACTGATACGTCATCCGACGAATCGACTGCAACCATTATTTTGACAATCAGACGAACGCTTGGGTCAGTTTTGACGCGCTCGCTCATTTGAGGGATAAAAAGGGACTAAAATCATATTGTCATGCTGATGTTCTAGCCCACAGCTTATTGACCTACTATAAGCAATAGGGACTTGGGAGCTCTTGAAGCGATTCTGAATCTGACGTTGTATTTGTTGATGTTGCTGACGCCAACTTCCCTGACATGATAGCTAAAAAAGCATACTCAGCATCGCCAAAAGTGGGGGGGGGTCGACCCCCCGGTTCTGACGAGTGGGGGGGTCGCGACCCCCCGACCCCCCCCCCCCCGTCGGCGACGCCCCTGAGTGGTTGGTATGTGCTTTTGGTGTAATAACTTTGAATGACAGAGACACTCCTGTAAAATGAGGCAATAGAAATGAGAAGAGGGTTCGTACACACACTTCGGCAATGGTTTTCAACTGCCATTAGATGTATTCATCAATACAGATCGCTTATTGTGATGTTGGCAACCAACCACTAAATTACCTGGAGGGCCGTACGTTGGACCTCAGATATACCATGTGTACTTGTCCGTGGTATCCAGAGGTCTCTTCACCTCTTTGAGTTTCGACCATGGCGGTTCATCCACCGCAAGTCCCATCCCATAATATACCAATTCAACACTGAAAGAAAAAATGACACCCTGTACGGGGTATTGACGGTCATGTCAAAAATAACACCCGAGTGGGGTGTTTTGAGGGGAGTCGCTGAGCTATTATAAATGGGGTGTTTGGCGTACACCCCAGGAGGGTTTCGACGCATAGTGGGGAGTCGCAGCCGCTAAAGGGGGGTCAGCGCCGGCCCACATGGGGTTCCGTTAGACTCCAGGTGACACCCCTCAAATATCAGCCGAGAACCCCTTTTTGGTCCCTAAGCACCCGACGGGGTGTCAAACACACATTTCAGGATGTAAAAGACAACGGTTCAACTCCCCTGTTTTCCTGATATAACCACGTTTATCCTGACCTCCACGCGGGTAATCTGCGTCATACCTAATATGATAAGCAGAAAATTAGCTTGGTTTGGTACCTACCGAGCAAGTCATTCCGTCGGTTCATCTGTGACCTGTCGCCATGGCGTATAACCCCTGCAGTAAAATCGACCGTAGTCTCCGGTCACCCTGGTACGATAGGCGTTATCACAAGTGTATTCGCGGCCATTGGGGCGACGTAAGAAAAGAAGAAAACAACTGGCCCCAAGAACTTTAAATTATGAAATAGCATGCACCTTTTCCTTGATATGTAGAGAATTTACCATTAATTGTTAGAGAAAATTGCATTTAAAATCTTCCATTTATGCTTTTTTCATTGTTTGCACAGTATCTTCTTTTACTAAGCTAGAAACACTAATTAGAAATAGTTCCAGCATCATCAAGAACAATAGGGAAGGCTTGAAGTGAATACAATAATCTAAACGGTTTTGTAATCCATGTGAAGACACTTCTAAAATTGCCTGTAGAAATATTGAAGGCAAGAGTTCAACTTTTTCACAAGACGGATGGCTATAAACCTATTCAACGTGTGACAACTCAGCTGGTATATCGTCGCCTACAGCCCAGCTTTCCCTAGTGACCGATAGAGGCGCTGCTATCGATGTCCGCCCGAGCCGCCTAACGAACAGCTCAGCAGTTTATGAGTGTTCGGCACTGGTTCGGAGCTGGTGCTTCGACGGGGCATCAGAGCTGATCAGGTCACGGACTTCCAGTCGTAAAGCCGCGACCCAACATCAGCAGACGCATTGAGTTTACAGTTACCAATTTGCTTGGAGGGGCGCTGCTTTATTGATATTTACTTTAGAGGGAACACATAATTCAGGATACTAGTTGGGCGTTGGAAGCTTATCCAAACTATCCAATATCCATATTTGTCAGAGCAACTCTCATGATCTATACACATCTAACCCGACCAGCTTATTTTCGATAGACACCCGGGATATGAGAGAAACCATATAACTTTTCCCGCTGTCCATAATTCGGCGGAAGATTCTAGCCTCTCCTCGGCATCGGATTCCGACCCTGCCTGTCGCCACGCCCGACCCGCTGGCTGGGAGGGGCACAGCGGGGAGGCGGGCGGACCAGGTGTCGGCTTTCGCCCTCTCAGGTGACCGTCGGTGGCGACAGCCGCCCCGTCGGCGTCGCAGTCGACGGTCTCGGTCGCCGACGGTGTGCAGTCCGGCGGTGGCGGCGGCCGCGGGAGGCGCGCCGATACAGGGGGGTCGGCCGGTACCTTCAGCTCAACGGCGACCCGACACGACCGAAGACGGTCGGCTTTTGAGGTTGAAAAGAAAATATAAGGTAAGCAAACGGAGGGTGGATTAATGTCAATGTTATCAACAGGAAATTCACTGAGGATTGGCTAAATTTTGTGCATTCTGTAAATGTAATAATTTGCTAATTATTTTAATTTGAAATGCGGTGCTTTTTTGACTTTTTGCATTGAATCAATCAACTTTTTAGAGATGGACTGCAATTTAAAAAATGTCAGTTTGAAACAACGTAAAAATCAGTCAAATTGATCTTACTAAAATCAGCTGTCTAAAATGTTGTAATATCTGAGAACAACGCATATTACGCTCAAATGTAAGTCAGTGAAAACACGGTAAAACTTGGAAAGTTATAATAATTATTTGAAAGGTTGTGTCCAAAGCAATTGTTTCTTGCATGGAAACTTGGCTATAACTGTTTGTTGTATGTCAATAGCGCCAAACAACTACCTACTGCCTGTCCTTTCAAACTGATCCACAACTCATAGCAGAAATAATCGTTCTTGTGGTGACCAACACCTCCCCCCAAAAAAACATCGATGAAACAGAGGCAGTTAGCAGAGGCAGTTATTTCTTTCCTTGCATGCGAAAAATGCAGGGAACATTTCTTATGCACAGTCATAGCGATATTCAACTTTATTTTTGAAGTTAAGAGGCACTGTTTGACAAGAAGAAGAACAATCTGAGACTACGCGCTTTGTGACTTCTGAACTCTCTTGATTGACAACTAGTGCTTGTTTGCCTGTTCCACGCGTTGCGAAGTCGGTTCGTTCGGGCCCGTATCACACACACTCAGCCGGGAAGTAATCGACAACTTCCTAACTAATTCCCCACGGGGACTGAAGCTCATTCTAACGAGCCCACGCTTTCTGACAGCTGGCGTGATATCTAAACAGCCGAGACCTGCATTGTTTTGGAGTGTTTATGCCCAATTATTGCCCAAGCGTCACTATTTAGCTTAGTGGAGCTGCAATGTACCTAAATCTCGGCATTTCCCTCGCTTCAGTATGGTACTCCGGGTCGCCAAGCACTCACCATTCATTGCCACTTGCCTTTGATTGAGTTCCGTGTCTGTGACAGTGTTAGATTGCGTCGCCAATAGGTTTTCGCCGCACGAATGAGAAACACATTTCTCGACCTCTTGAAGAGTTATTGCTCGGCTAATGCATTGCTTGCTATACAGCGGTACCCCATAATGTCATTCACTGCCAGTTGCAGAACCACTGCGAGTGAATTGGTGTCAGAGCTGCGTTAGTTACCAGCGCGGATCCGATTTCCAATCATTGAGTGGGATCGGTCTGTCAATACGGCTGCTGTGTGGTCTGAAAAGCCGCAGGGCGCGCGGCAAAATAGCATGGCTGCTGTCATTGATCCGCACCGGGGATAATTGAGTTGACTGAGTTGACCATGCGCCGGCCGATGCACCGTGGGGACTTATGCCATCCTAGCACGCATTAAGTGGCAAGTTAAAGTATTTCGATTTCCACTTTTTTGTTATTCATTCCACGTAGAATTGTCCAGCGCATCCGAATCACACATTAAATCGTCTGTAAAGTGATTGTTTATGCCTACAAAAAACTCTCAAAGTGTAGCTTCGTCCTGACCAGCGTCGTGCTACCTGCATACAGCGAAAAAGCCCACTACAATAAAACGCCCTCTCACTCGTTTCCCTGAACAGCAGGTTATAGTTGCGACATGTTTTCATTATCTTTGACTTATAAGGAAGATGATGGTATGCACGAAAATTTCCAAAATTCATCCAAATGTATAATTTTTGACCGAAATGCTAAAAATGTTAACCCTCGCCCGCACATGCCATTTTCCCATCCTAGAACGCACATGGGGGGGGGGGTGGTTGCCACCCCCCCGCGCCATTTCGTTCCTGTTGGAGATAGAGCTTAGCGGTAAAGACCAAAAAGATTCTTTGGGAAGAGACAAATCCAATGATACCCAGTTTTACCTTCTCAGGTCAGTCATTGACCTTCCAGGTCAGGTCAAACTAAAAAATGTTGCTGTTTTGGGTCACCGTTGGATATCAAGTGCGCTGCTTATCAAATACCGATGACGATGCTGTTTTCTGGTGCCAGGCCAGCTAGAACCTCTTTGTCACACTACCCGACCAGAATTTTACGGCTGAGGTCATTTCAGGTCAAGTTAGGTCAAGGTCAATTATATGTGTTTGTATGTCTGTGTGTGTCTGTGTGTATACTGATGTGTGCACCGATTGTTTTTGGGTCCATATTACATGAAATCATGCTCTGAGAAGCTTTTACCAAAAATGCAGTCAAAAAAATTCAAAAAAAGTAAATTCAGCTTGCCTAAAACGCAATTATCTTAGATGACCTAGGTTGACCTTGACCCTGACCTTGACCCCTGTACATCGTCGAACAACATGTTCCATGATAGGTGGGAGGTAATACTGGCAAAAAAAGCCGAAATCAGGGTGTCAAAAGCTCGCAAGACCCATGGCAAACGCAAGATGTTGAGAATTGGCCATTTGGGTCATGACATGACCTGAAAAACAAGGTCATATCTCCGAAACCAAAATTCACAGAAACTTGAAATTTTCAGTGGACATCAAGAAAGGATAGAGGAGCAGCTATACGAAAAATCAGCGTTCTAGCGCTAAAAATGTTGAGTGCAGAGCAGAAAGACTACCTGGGGGGGTGGCAACCACCCCCCCCCCCATGTGCGGGCGAGGGTTAAAATGCTTCTTGATTCAGAGAGTTGACAAGCAAACTATTGCGTTACAAAGTTTGATACGCGGTGGTACGCGTGGAAATGTATATCAAAATGTTCTCCAATGATTTCTGCATCGGGGGCAGCTCTCATTTTTTGCCGAAATTTGCCTAAACCAGTCACTATGAGACGTCAAAGCAGACGGTGCCGCGTGGTTTCTCACGCCCCGCCGGGCCGCGCCGCGGCGGGTTACCCGACCGCAGCACACCGCCTGGGGGTTTCCGGTCAGATAGGAGTTGGGAGGAGGGAGGAAGGGGGTGATACCATGTTGACATTATTTTTCTATCGCCAAATGTTCTTTTTGAACAAAACAACAACACCCTTGCAACGCTGCGTCCATTTTATTGGCTATCGCCACCAATGTTCACCTTATTGAACTTCAGTACAGAGCTTTGATGTAGGTAAATCGAAAAAATGCTGTAACTTTGTAAAGTGAGGTTGGAGGTTTTTGGGGTGCTTATCACGAATTTCAAGCTAGTTTTGATCAAGGATGATGTTTTCATGCTAGGCCGGGTCAGGTCAGGCCCGACCAGTAGGTGTCTTGCCGGCTATCCATAGAAGGTAGGCGTCGATTACCTTTGACGGCTTCGTAGCATGTTCCGTTAGGCACCAAAACTACTTAAATCTTCAAATGGGTGTTAAGTTCGAAATAAGCTCCAAGCACTTATCTAGAAAAATCGTATAACTTGAAAAAAGTCAACTAAGGTCATCTAAGGTAAATGACCTTGATTTGACCTTAACGTGACCTTAAAATGCAAAGAACAAACAGCATTTCATACCTTGGAGAGTTAACAACCACAACAAGACTGAAAACGCGCCGATAATGTGCGCTGATAAGCGCCAAATCGATAACAGCCTGACATGGTCTGGTGAAACAGGTCACAGGTCAAATTTTTATTAACCCTATTAGTGGCAGGCTCCTGGCTACCCCATATTAGTGGCAGGGGGGGGGGGCTGTTTACGACCGCCCCTTGATATCTCGAGATCTAACGGGCCGATTTTCAAAATTCAAACGGCATTCGATTTCGCTCAACGTGATCTACATTTCTAAAAAAAAAAATGTCAATAGGGGGGTAGAGGGGGGTAAAAAAGGGCAAATTGCAGATACATTTTAGACTGTTTATCACGGCCAGGTTTCTGAACCAATCTTAACACAACTTTTGCCGATCGATAGAGAATGAACCATGAATTCACATTGATCCTAAAAATATGCATTTTCAAAAATCATAGGCGGATACAGATCATTGAGATTGGGGGTACACAAAAAGTATAGTAAATAAGGTTTTTGTTGGTACTGTTTCTAAAAAGGGTGGCAATGGTCTTGTTATGTTACAATTTTCTTATGTGAGAACGACTAAAATTGTATTGGTCATGCATAGGCGGTGTCAGGGCACCTATGTTGGGAGGTAAAAAATAACCCCCCTTTTTGGACGCCTGGATCCGCCTATTATAGCAAAAACGTGTCAAAAGAGGATGCACAATAACTTTGTATATGTTATCACATGATACCTTTCATTCACTGTTCGTAAAACTGGTGCAGCATCGTGATCTTCGCCCAAATGACTCGCTTCACGAATAGGACCCCCCAATTCCCAGTGCTCTGGAGCCGCCCCTGGTTAAGTTATGAACTTGAAATTTTCAGGGAATGTGCCCAATTTAGTTTTAGGAAAAGTCAGAAAATTTCAGCATCGTAGCTTCAGCGGTTTCGGAGATATTCCCGAAAAACCTGAGGGGTGGATAAAAACACCCCCCCCCCCCTGCCACTAATAGGGTTAAGGTCAAGGTCATGAAATTTTAAGTGTGTGAGTAACATTGATCGAGTCGAAGGTATAGAAAGTTTCGTCGTGATCCTCCACGTTTTGCTTGAGTTAGTATGCGAAAAGTCGAGGACAGAAGTCTGTGCGACCCCCTCCCCCTTTAAGTGCAAGGACTAACAAAGTGCAAAGGTTAAGCCCGAAATGCCTTTTTGGTGATTGGGCTAGACATGAACAAATATCTACTTCTAAAACGATTGTAGTTTCGTTCTACCTTTTTAACGCTTCCACGCCCACGATGCATTGCTAGCCGAAAACGCTTCAGTGCTAAGTCCGTGGGGAGGGGGCGGGGGAGGGATGGGGTCAAGCAGGAGAGCCAACCATGTTGTCAGGGATCATACACCCTAAGCCTAACCATTTAAAGGTGAAATAAAATTAGTTAAGGTAGCGGAGGATGCGATATAAATAAATTCGTGCTAGGATCGATAAAAACCCCACAGTGCGATGGCACATACACCACCGGTGGCCACGGTCAACA